TGTGAATGACGTTGTATAAATCAATGTTTGAAAATAATGATATTGAAAACTTTTTAAGTTAAAAAAATATATTAAAAATCTTATTTTGGTTGTCTGCCATGGGAGGGAAACTCGTAGAATCGCATGCTGTAGAATTGCTTAAAAGAGGTGCATATGGAACTAAGTCCTTGATGTTTTTCTTTTCTTTTTCTTTTTTTAAATAACCTGTTAAATAGATCATCACCGTATTTATTTAGTTTTTTTCTCTCTTTTTTTTTGTCTTTTGCTACTGTGCATACACAATTTAGTTTAACTTTCAAAGCTATGCACTTAAGAGAAGCAAACATGTTGATCACAACAGCGAATGGTGAGTTGTTCTGCCCCTGGAGAGTTTGTGAATCCCACACACACACACACACACACACACACTGACCCTGTACAAACACACACACTCAAATAACTAGAACAAAGAAATCTCTCTCTGTAGCAAAAGACACATTTCAGATACTAAGACCGTGCTAGAGACATTTTGTAACAAACAGGTTTTTGTTCTTTAATAAAAAAAAAAGGAAAAAAATGATGCAGCATCTGAAAGGCAGAACTTTTCTGTTGTTCCCTCTCGACATGTATCAAGAAAAGCGCTCTTTCCTTACCTGTAGTGGCATTTCTTCCATTCTGTTATTTCTGCAACATTCTGTACAAAAAAAAACAAAAAGTGCTGTCGTTGTGCGTTAGGCCTGGAGTTGGCAAGAAAAACAAAACAAAAAATGAACTTAATTTGCTTTTCTTCCTCCCTCTCTTCCCTGTCCTCTCCTTGCCTCTCTCCATATGAATAACTTACAGTTCTGCATTCCCACTGTACCCTTATCCATCTTTTGTATTTAATTTTAAAGTCAGTGTACAACAGAAAGCTGGATGCAAGATAGAAACTATATTAAAATGTACTGTTATTTAAGATGTAATAAAAGCAGTTTGAGACTATTTTGTTGTTTCCCTTTTTTCTTTCTTTTTTTTTTAATGAATTTATGATATACTGGTATATTCAGCATGCCTGAAAATAGATAGTTGTACTTTGCATTAAGCATGAAAGATGATCAAATTAATTTTTATGCCAAAAATTCAGAAGGTTATGCCCAGCTTTTGTCTACTGGTGGTGCTATAACCAAACTTTAAAGGGGTCATATGATGCGATTTCAAGTTTTCCTTTCTCTTTGGAGTGTTACAAGCTCTTGGTGCATAAAGAAGATCTGTAAAGTTGCAAAGACTAAAGTCTCAAATCCAAAGAGATATTCTTTATAAAAGTTAAGAGTCAGCCACGCCCTCCTAAAACGGCTCGTTCTAACACGCCCCCACATATCTACCTCACTATGTGGGAAGATTTGCATAACGCCACCCAAATGTTCACGCAAAGAAAGACGGCGTTACTTTTATTCACGCTGTAGTATTGTTGTTGCCGCCGCCATGTCGTGAAGGCGCTGTGTTTCGTTGTGAAAGCGTGAAACTACTTTGGTCTTCCAAAAGAGGACACGACTAGAAATCAGTGGTTAAGTTGTATTTACAACACTGTTCCAGAACACTTCAGCCCAAATATTCAGATGTGTGCAGCACATTTTATGGAGGACTGTTTCCTGATCCTGGGAGAGTAGACTACAATGCCGGCTGTTCTGACTCACAGACTGTAAGTACGTTTTTTATATTTAAAGAATTTGCCACTGATGATTCAAACGTGAGTTTTGGGCAGTGTAGAGTAGCGCTTGTTGTCTGTCATTTCTCCGATCACAAATGCAGACATGGTTTTATGTTTACGCGGCACGATGCAATGGAACGCGTAAGCTAATATAAGTCATTATAATCCATAATTATGTCCCCACTGGATGCAACAAATGCCTCGTTTATAATGGGTTTTAATGCTTTTGTCTCGTCGCTCCGGCCGGGACACGGCATCACAGTATGGTGAGGGGCGTAACATTTCCGTCAAACGCTTGAGGTATTCGGCCAATCACAACGCACTGGATAGCTGGCCAATCACAGCACACCTCGCTTTTCCGAATGATAAGCTTTGTAAAAATCGACGCGTTTCAGAAAGGCGGGGCATAGAGGAGAAACAATAATGTACAGTATGTGGAAAATAATGTGTTTTTTTAACTTTAAACCGCATAAACACATTTCATTACACCAAATACACAACATAATGTTCTTTTTAGCAGTATCATATGACCCCTTTAAAAGTCTTTGTTTTCCGCCAGGAGCATTTTTGGCACATTTTTTCCATGTCATCTTCGTGAATGAAAAGTGAATCTTTAAAGTAAATTTTACTGCACAGCTGTAGAGTTGAGAAATAATAAGGGCTTAAAAATATTAAGAAATGTGTTAATGGCTATGAAGGAAGTTATTGATTATCAAGAATACCATTATGATGTCCTTTAAGAGATAGCATCGCTAGCTAGCTAATGTTAGCCTAAACAGTTAAGATAGTGTTTAGTTGTATTACATGTCTGGGTGCTGGGATAGGCTCTGCATATTATATGTTGTTAAATAACATGAAACGGTGTTAATGCCGCTATCATTATTTACGGTGTTGCAATTATTTTGTTTCTCCGTTTCTGAAAAGAACGAGGCAGGACTCCGGAGAGGTTTCTGTGAGGGTCTCAAGATCGGCTCTCCTACTGATATATCTCAACATCAACTGAGCTTCACCGGAAGCTTACGAGCTGGATTATCTTTACGCGGAAGTTCTAAAGAACGCGAATGACGTCTGGCGCTTTTCTGCTCTTTCAACTTCCAGCGCTCCTACAAAAACACGAGGCGCAGCAGGCCGCATTCATTTAGGCGACAGCTCGTGTTACTGTCAGTTTAGCTATGCATTTAATCCAGACCAACAGAGGGCGACGTTATGCTCTTTTGTTTGCCAATCTGAGGGTAATCAAAAACAGAAAAAAATAGTTTTTTTATTCTTAGTAAAATTTGGTCTACAAAACTCTAAATCTAGAAAGACAGACCAGTTTAATTAAGTATACAAATTCTACAATTACATAGTTTCAGTTAAAACGCATTGTCGTTACACGTGTTATAATATTTTAACGTTTAATACATTTTGACATGTAATATGTCCAGTAAATTTAAGATATTCACATTGCTGCGTTCAAATTCTCAATAGGAGTTCATGTCTGAAAGATACGGTTCATAGTTCAGTGATCCGTGCACTGCTAACTCGGTCGATTCATTCACAAACCGAACATCATTCAAGAGCATTTTAATTTTCATGAAACATGCATTGTGTTTCCAAACTTCATGGCTGTTATAAATGTTACGGGTCAGCAGATAACACTGTTGTCAACACTCCGAGACTGAATCTCTTCCCTCTTCAGGAGTGGGGTATTCCTGCGGTTTCAGGATCCTAGTTTGATTGATTCATTTATTGTATTTTGTTCATTGCATGTATGTATGTATTAGCGGTTTATACACGTTTATAGCACTGCTATTCAATTCTGTATTTGTACGATTATTTTTAAGTTATTTAGTTGTATACATTTAATTATTGTCCTCACCAACCCCTAACCCTAAACATTCCCGTTGGTAAGCCTCTTGAAATATTAACCTAATTTGATTCAATATATATATTTCATGGCTATATTAGTGCAGTCTGGTGGCCAATCTTCACTGATTGCACATTCCACCAGTAAGAGTGGCGTGTGAAGGTTGAATTAGCAGAGCAATAGCACACTTTTACATAAACTATGGCAATGCACACAACATAATGGGAGATGTGTCAGAGTTCAAAAGAGGACAAATTGTTGGTGCGCGTCTCGCTGGTGCATCTGTGACCAGGACGGCAAGTCTTTGTGGTGCATTGAGAGCCACGGTATCCAGGGTAATGTCAGCAGACCACCATGAAGGACGAACCACATCCAACAGGAGGAACTGTCGACGTGAGAGGAAGCTGTCTGAAAGGGTGACCGGGTGCTGAACTGGACTGTACTCCGCTCTCCTGTTTCCAGCAAGAAGTCCCACAGGGTCAATATACATGCTATAGCCAAGCCTTTGGTCACTCGTGCCAATGCCAAACATCCGAACCATTCTGGAGGACCATGTGCACCCAGTGGTCCAAGCATTGTACCCTGAAGGTGGTGCCGTGCATCAGGACGATAATGCACCAGTGTACACAGCAAGACCGGTGTCAGAGTGGCTTGATGAACACGGAGTGAAGCTGAGCATCTCCCATGGCCTGCACGGTCACCAGATCTGAATAGCGCTGAGCCACTCTGGGGTGTTTAGGAGGAGCGAGTCAGGAAACGTTTTCCTCCACCAGCATCACAGTCACCTGGCCTCTGTTCTGCAAGAGCAATGGCTCAAAATCCCTCTGGCCACTGTGCAGGACGTATATCTGTCATTCCCAAGAGGAGCTGATGCTGTGTACTGGCCGCAAAAGGAGGCCCTACCACACCATTTTAATCAATTATTGTGGTCTAAAACCAGGTGTTTCAGTTTCATTTTCCAACCCCTGTATGTGTATATATATAGAGAGAGAGAGAGAGACTATATTCTGGTTTTAAATTCACTTTTCTTGGAGAGAAAGTCTTTAGTTCATTCGCCGCAGCGCTTCTCGTCTGATGTGGGACCCACTTTATAAGTGCAGTAAACCATAACACAAATGTAAAATACGTTAAGAATAATAAAATGGAAAGATAAACACAATGGTTGCCATTGTTGATGTTAGAATCAGGTCTCTGTGGGAATAGAACTGTGGCGTTGTCCAAAAAGGGCCTTTTGACTAACGAACGTCTTTTGTTTTATAATGACAGTTCACTTTACCCGAATAAGCCACATAATTTGAGCTATTTTTCAAGTCTGTAGCACAGGGCTAATGATAACAATAATACTACAGTAGAGATGTCCACGTCACACGCAGGGAGCCGGTGCACACGAGCTTCCGGTATCCACGCCACTGACCGCAGTGGATCACGGGATACGAGTTTTTGCCCCATTTGTGAGATCACAAAAGGCGTCGTTCTAAACTACATCTCCCACAAGAAGCCTCTCCTCATTCCAAGGAAAGCCCCGTTCTGGCAGCTCCTTCGCGGAGTTACAGCCTCCTCCTCTCAGTCCGTGTTATTGTTGAGGGGGAGCGGAGAGGAGGCGGTAGTCCCGCAGTCATGGCGCTGCATTAGGAGGAGTAAAGCACCAGCTCCTCTACCCCTGAGGGACGGACGAAACCTCACGGCCAGGAATACACCGGCGAAGGCGGATAAGAGCGCTGTCATGCAGTACACGCACAGAAGAATCTGAACGCGTCCGCCGTTAAAGATGTCCGCGGAGGTGCAGCGGCTGTCCCGGGAGCTGGCGGAGACCACGCGGGAGAAGATCCAGGCGGCGGAGTACGGGCTCGCGGTGCTGGACGAGAAGCAGCGGCTGAAGCAGCGGTACGACGAGCTGGAGGCGGAGCACGAGACCGTCCGCCGGGAGCTGGAGCAGCTGCGAGAGGTGCGTGGACGCGGAGCAGTACTGTAATCGTGTTCGCGGAAAACACCGAATTCATCCGGTCGCGTTCTTCATAAATGTGTCACTTGCCTATGATGTCCCACAATTCCGTGCGTGCGGCGGTTGTTGGGAAGAATAGCAATGTTTTCTGATGCAGAAATCCATGAAGTGGATTCGGCCTCTAGTCGTAAGCTTTCTAGTGATTTAACATTTGCTTGGTTATGACTGAGGCGAATGCATTTTTAGGGTCATTATTATTTAGTTAGTCTGTAACCAGTCATGTGCAAAGTGCTGCCTGTGTTTTACTGTGTAGCTGCTATAGTGAATGTCACTTTGTTCATGCAGTGACATGAGCATCTTTATTATTCTGTAGGCCTAGTTGTTCTCCTCTGTCACTCCATTGCTATTTCTCACAGGTCCTCAGTGGTTTCATTAGTGTACAGTATGCTGTCAGCTCGTGAGTGATGGGGGATGAGACGGGCCTGCTTTTGAATTTTTGCGGGAGTCTCAGTCCCCTCCTAAAGGGCCAAGAGAGTCGCAGCCCGAAGAGGAATGAGGGGAGTGCAGATGGTTTCCTCCAGCCGAGCTGCAGATAAATCAAACTGAGTTTGCACACTAGTGCCTGAGAATGGCGCTCAGTGGCGGCACACAATGAGAGATGGGATGCTTTAGGAATTTGTTGAAATGAGGACGTGCTGGAGGTCAATCAGCAACAAAAAGCGTCGTTGTGACCGGCTGCAGGCCTGTTATCGGCGATCAATTATCAAAACTTGCCTGATTTTTATTTTATTTTTTTGGAGCTTGACTAACTTCCTCTCACATTTAGGTCCTTTTTGACATTTTTGAAGGTTACTCTTTCTGTCTCCGTTCACCAGCTCTGTCTGTTCATTGATCACAGTCAGTATCACAGTGTTCATGTCAAACGTAAACACAACCCACTTGTGGACATGTATATGACCGTTGCCTAGAAGGTATGGTTTATCATTTAAAAAACTTGAATAAATTAGTATTAGGTAGGTTTTGTTTGTTTGTTTGTTTGTTTCAGAAGACACTAAGACACCGATCCATCCACTGGGGTCGTATGGGTACTCTCATAATGGCTGTATGTGATTTTTGGGACGTCAACGTTTGGGTGCCTATTCAGTAACAGCCAGCATAACTCAGCAGTGCGATGACTTGAAGGGTCTGTTAAAGTTTAACCGCTGACATGCAGGGTCACAAGCACCCACTCCAACTTGGTTTTTCGAATGCACATGATGAAAATCAGTGGAAACAGGTTAGTGGGGCTTTAGATGCTGGCGGTGCTGCGCTTGGCAAGCCAGCTGTCCCACCCTATAGCAGAAGAAGAAGCTAAAAGCGTTTACCTCATGCTCTTTCAAGCAGTGTGTCTTTGTTTCTTGAGGGTGCAATTGAGAACAAATCTGCTAAATTAGTCCTTGTGTTGAATAACTCCGGATTGGTCCTGTTGCTAGAGCAGGTGTCCCACATAGCTAGCAGGTTATCCATCAATGTGGGCGGTTTATAGACCGTTTGTTTTGGAGCTGTTCAGCTGTTCAAGCACAAGTTGATATTCTGGGTAACACTACAGAGCCAGCTTTAGAGATTGTATGTGCATCCATATCAGCCCTTTGACTTTTATCAGCTTTACAGCTCGCTGTTAGTCACTAAAGGCCTGAAATACTTCAAGCGAATTTGAAGGATGAATAGTGTGATGCCATTTTGACCAAAATCTGTCCAAAGGGAAGGTGTTTGAGTTTGTTCTGCTGGTTAGAAACAGCTAGCCGGCGCAGACTTCAGTACCGGCTGTTGGACACCCTCCTAACTGCCATTTGTCCAAGATGATGACTAAAATCTTATCAGGGTTACAGTATATACTGCAGTATGTTTCTTTTTGCTGGAAATTCAAGGATGAAGTAGTTTATTTTTCAAATAACCATGTGGAAATGCCTGTTTTTGGTTTTGGAACACTTTACAAATGTACTTCCTCTCATTTGATTATTTTCTGTGTTTATTTGGAACTCGGTGGACAAAAAGCAAGAGATTAAACACGAGTTCAAACCTAAAAACTCCAAACGGTCAAAGTAAAATCCGAGTGAAGCTGTTGTAAAATAGTTGACGTACACACGCCTTTGGAAATTAGTTGAATACTATCATTTGGCAAGTAGTGACATTACTAGGAAGCCATAATCAACATAAACTCCATAGAAACACTATGTTCTGTCTAACATTTCCCTTCATAACAACATCTTTCTTTTTGGGGGATTTTCTTCAGCTATTCCTCATTGTATAATTTTTGCTATGGCATAAAGAAGTTCTGCCCGCTGAGAGCTGCACAAACACCTGCAGCGGTATAAATGATGTAGCAGAATCTCTACTAGTTGACACATGTCTACCATCACATGGTAAATAGCGTTAAACCACCCAGCCCTAACCTGGGGTGAACTTGGGTTGGGCAATATGGTAAAAATATCACATCACAAATTCTGGATCATGATTCACTATCTCATCATGATTCTTTCTCATGTTGGTTTTTGAGCCTGTTTTGGAAATTACTGAGCAGTACAAGTTAATTTCCCAATTTAAAAAATATAGCCCTACAAGGCAACAAAACAAAAGAAATAAAGACAGACTGACATTTAGGCTAAAGGGTGGATAATATAAGAAATCTTATTTCACTTCATTTTGTTTCATTATTTTATCTTTGTTATTAAAAATAAGATCAAAGATGCAGAATACCAACACTAGGCTAAATACAATAAATGAATGCAATAAACAGTTTTAATTTTTATTCTTTCAGGTACAGTAGGTCTATTTAACAATAGCTTTCAAGTAAGAAATTGAATAAAATGTAAAAAAATAACGCTGCATAAATGAAATATACTTAGATTCTTATTAAAGCTACAAAAGTTATTCAGTCAAAAGCAATGATTTTTCTCTTTTTTGCACATTAACAGCATGGACAGCAGCAGATATATTAGGCTGCTTCACTTAAGACTTAATGCACGGATCCAACATACCATTTTTCCCCCTCTCCCACTCAAGACATAACCTACTGTGTTTATGTGAATCCTGTGTTTTTCTGACAGTTTAAGCGCACATGATAACTGTGCTAAACCATTGGTTTTCAATCCTGGTCCTGGGGACCCTCTGCTCTGCACATTTTGTGTCTCCCTTATTTAACACGCCTGATTCAGATCATCAGCTCATTAGGAGAGAGATCCCTGAACTGCATCGTCTGTCAGATAAGAGAAAACATACTAAATGTGCAGAGCAGAGGAAAACCTCCGCGCCAAACTATACTGTACTTACATGGGGTACCCTAAAGTAATTTATTAAATGCAGCATTGTTAAAAACAAAGTTGCTTCAGCTGGTGCCTGAACTCACAGGAAACTCCCTCAGCCTTAGTAAACACTTCCTCCTCCTCCGGCCAGCTCAGAAGAATGGTCACAGGAACAATAAACATACTGAGCTGTGCTGCTGTGTGCCGTTTAAACGGCCAGCTGTTCTCTATGGCAGCATCCTGACTGAAATAGATTAGAAACAACCTACATGGGTAGCAACAATTTTTTCCCGTTTTCAACCCGACATTTGTTATTCCAGTGTATTAAATATAAATATTAGGGGTGTAACGATATTCAAACCAAACCGCAATACACCACCCACAATACGTATCGCGGTACTCTTGGTATGTAGGGGTTGGACTATACTGACTGTCCAATGACCAGGCTTTTAACACGGGAGTTTGATTGACAGGCGATCTGACCAATCATAATGCCGAATCCGCCGTTTTGTCCGACAAACAAACCAGACAGGAAAGTTAATAGATTAACGTCAGTACAGTCGAACTTGAAAATGGTGTATTGATGTCTTCCGCGGTTGAGACGACATATGTTCATTCATGTTTATTTCGAGCTATAATTAGCAGGAAGAGATCGATTCACATTTGAACCACTAGAACTGAGGCTCTACAGCGATAGGTCACATTAAAGAGTCACAAACATATGTATAGTTTGAATTTGTTTAAAAATTAACAACTTTGAAAGCCGAGACTTATAGTTTCATTCCAAAAGTAACCTGCTCTGTCTTGTTGGTCAGATCGCCTGTCAATCAAACTCCTGGCGAAGGCTGAGATCCCGCCCTACATTCCAGAAGCCGTTTCACTCGTACGTCACAGAAGGGAAGAAAGGCTATCGCAACTTCCGTTTCATGCCGACTTTAAAGGAACAGCAGTCTATTCCTGCTGCCTGTGTTTTTAATGTTCAACAACAAAAGATAAGGAAATCACTCACGTCTCTTGACTGAATAACTTTTGTAACTTCAACAAGGAATGATCTTTAATTTATACAGTGAAATATGCTCTGTTATTTTACATTTTGTTTACTTTTAGATTTCTGGGCCTGAAAATTACTGTTAAACACCTGAAAACACAGTTTATTTGATTTGTGTCTTTGCTCTATTGTTTTTATTTGTGCTGTTGCATTTAGTTTGATTATTTGTTATTATTTTCTTTATTTTTATTTGACCATAGTCCTTTTTTCCCTGAACATAGCACATACCGAACCGTACTGAACCGAACCGTACTGAACTGAACCATGAGCAATCTGAACCATTACACCCATAATAAATACGAGTATATATTATATATGAACATTACAGTTGATACTGAAGAACATACTGTTATAGAAAGTTCAGAAGAACAGCATTTATCTGAAATAGAAATCTTTCTTATATAACTTTATCATCACTTTTGATCAATTTAAAACATCCTTCTCCAGTAACGGCTGTAAACAAAGCAGCTCCGCTCATGAACGCTACTTTATCAGATAAAAATGCCATCTAAACTATTCTGAAGACAGTCGGTTCCCTTCAGAGATACATTTATATAAAACACCCGCGACGCGTTTTGATTTTGAAACAAACGCCACAAATAAATCAATGTATGGGAAACACTGGTAACGTATATCGGAAATGTGTTTAAAAATCATATCACCGTTATTGAAAAAAATTATATCGCGATACATATTGATATTGAATTATTGTCCAGCCTTTACTGTTGATCATTAATACTGATTAGATGTTTTTTGTGAAGTCCTGCGATTGCCTTCTCCAGGAATTTATCATCTTTTTTGTTTTGTTTTTTGTTGTTTAAAAAAAAAAAAAAAGTTGTTTTAAACAAAATTTTCTCTGATTAACATGCTTTTATCATGTCGCCTTGTTTGCGTCTAGTTAGGGCACAGTGTTAGAATTTAAACATTCTGTCATACATTTTAAAAACTTAAATTAGCATAAATGAAAGGTACAAGGAATACTACAGTGATGATGATGATAGGAATCTGAAATGATTTTATGGCTTATTAGGTCCCCCTTGGAAGTTTGCTGAGGCCCCTTATTGAGCGCTGGATCCCCTGCTTGAGAATCTCTGTTTTAGACCTCAATGACAGGCATAAGCTATTTTATGTCAGTTATAAACATAATTACTTTATATATATATATATATATATATATATATATATATATCGTTTGTTTATTTTTTCATTTCTCAAAGCTCAAAACTTTCCCCTAGATTTCTTCTAGCTCTAGCTGTAACCAGCAGAATCTCAAACTCAGTTTTTTTTACAGCAGAAAGCTGCCATAGAGACCATAGCTTCCTATCTATCTACCAGAAATCAATCAACCCAAAAGTTAGGGAATAAAAAAAAAAAAGGCACTTTCACACCCTCATAAAATAAAAGGTCTGAGAGAGTTCTCAAACCTGAAATGTTCCGCATGTACACTTCTCCAAGTACCCTCTAAAAGGGCTGAGACTCCAGTCTTTCCCGTTGTAAACTGATCCTAAAAGTGGAACCCTGAGCAACCTTGATCATTTCATTCAGACTTAAGTTCTAAATTTAAGGAATGTTTTGTCACATTTGGATTTGTCTCATATTTGATGAAGTTTGCATCAAAAATTGTGCTATTGTCCTGTTTATTACTGTGAAGCTGCTTTGAAACAGTCTGTATTTTATAAAGCGCTATGAAAATAAAGGTGAATTGACTTGGTGCTGCAGTGAGCACACTTTTGGATACAGAGTTTGCATGGTATACTGCTTGTTTTCTCTAATCTTTGTATCCTTCTTCCATTACACAGGCCTTCGGACAGGCCCACTCCAACCACAGGAAGGTGGCGGCTGACGGTGAGAGCCGCGAGGAGTCGCTGATCCAGGAGTCGGCGTGTAAGGAGGCGTATTACGAGCAGCGTATGCAAGAGCTGCAGGCAGAGCTGCGACAAGGACGTAACATCCTGACCAACGTCCAGTCAGAGAACGAACGGCTTGCCACCATCACTCAGGAACTCCGAGAGGTCAGTCTGAGCACTTCAGCATGAACTGAGTGCTAGTTCAGAGCCAGTGCTATTGCCGGTTCGGAGTTGTTTCGACTGGCGAGCCTTCTAAGAACCGGTTTGCCTTTCCACGGGCTAGAGAGCCACCACAGAGCCAGGTCTTACGTCATTGAATACGTCTCATCTTTCCCAGCAACGCTAGCACGGCAGCGCCAAACACAACAGGCTTGATGGTATTTTTTCTTTTCATCTTGCCTCTGTATAATGCATATTAAAGTTCATAAGTGCAGCGCTGCTTTGTTTACAGCGGAAACCAGGAAACACTAAGCGCCACCTGCTGGCAGAGAGTGCATCTGCGTCTCGTTCAGCTCGTCTGCTGTTTCGGTTTCATGCAGATATTTTTTATGCATAATTTCACAAAACTGAAGTCAAATCATTCTGTTTTTGCTTCAAATTTCGAAATTATACAATCTAATTTAGATTAAAAAGTGCTCATGTTGCATGTATGCAGCATCTTTGTTTGGATCAAGATTAAAATGCAGTGGTTGCCTCTAATTTTAAATGGAAAGAGCACAGACAAAGCCTTAGTTTGTTTATATGAAGAGATTTATTTGATTTGTGTTACTTATTTATTTGATTTGGGGCTTGTTTTAAAAAAAAAAAAATGTAGTTTTTTGACGCAAGCGGTTCGTACTTCTAGACCAGCAATGTTTTGGTGCTACTTACGAACCACGTTTCCTGGTTCGGAGCTGGTGCTTTGGGTGTCGAAAGACAAAGAACCGATTTGAAACTAGTCTCTGGCTTCGAACCAGTACTCAAACTACCGTGGTGGAAAAGGTGTATGTGTGAGCGTCTGTCTGACTGAACGGCCTGTGTCTGGATCATTAGGACGGTCACATGCTGATGAATGCATTACAGTGATTGGAAGCTTTAGTAGTAGATTTAGAAATCTCCCGCAATATGATCAGTCTGGAGCTCTTTCTTTAAGGAAGAGCGTGAAAAAAAGGACAAATCAAGATGTGCTCAGTTGATGGACTCTCGATGGCAAAAGGTGTTTCAACCAAGTATTAGTTGAGGGGTGTGCGATATAGTTTATGATAATTTCATAATTGTTGTTTTAATGATATGTAAGCTCACTTTATCAAGTATGTCACTCACTTTGTAGAAAACAGTCTTGAGAGTCCAAAAGCATTCACTGTGTGATAGAGTACAGTTAGAATGCTCTGATAATTGAAGTGTGTTTTTTTTTTTATATTTGAAAGCCATGATGTAGTTATGTAATAACAAAAAGCAAGAGTGCCGTTTTCCTGAATGTTAGTTTGTCAGCGCAGTCACAAATGTAATATTACTTTATGCAATAGTTTCAAAAAACAAGAAGTTAATATTGAGTGAGTTACATTTTAGACACAATATTGTCTGTTTTTTTCCCTGTTTTGCAAATGAAAATTGTTTCAAACAAAGCCAGAACAGAACATTTGTGTGGCCTGAAATGGCTTAGTTTGTTCATATTAAGAGATTTCTTTTATTTGTGTAACTTGTGTAACACAAAGAAACGTGCAGCAATAGCTTAATAAAACAACACCTTTTCATTTACTGTATAATATCTTCAGTCTAGTTTTGTTAAAATAAATCGTGAGAAAATTGAACCGTGAAATCAAAACCGTGAATCGAATCGTGAGTTGAGTGAATCGTTATATTTGTATCGATTTTCAATCGTGAATCGTTACATCCCTAGTGACCAGTAATGTCTAATTCACCAACAAGGATGCAAATATAGGATTAAAAGGAAATTAAGAATATAAACCGACAGATGGAGTGAGGATTTGGGAAAAGAAAGAGACTGTGTTTAATGGCACAGTCCTCTGGAAGGGATTAATGAAGTGAAATGAGTTTTTGCGTGTGGCTCAGCAGATGGGGCAAAGACGGAGAGATAGAGACGGAGGCGTACAGATGGACTGATAAACAGATTCAAGCAGGTCAAAGGATAAAAGTGTGGTTGATTTAGAGCGAGACATACAACCATTCATGGTGATATATTTACGGTAGGAAATGTACAAAATATCTTCATGGAACATTATCTTTACTGAATATCCTAATGATTTTTGGCATAAAAGAAAAATCGATAATTTTGACCCATACAATGTATTGTTGGCTATTGCTACGAATATACCCCAGCGACTTAAGACTGCTTTTGTGCTCCAGAGTCACATATATGCTGTTCTTTCTATTCACCAAAGAATCCTGAAAACAAATGTATCACAGTTTCCACAAAATATTGTGCAGCACAACTGTTTCCAACATTGATAATAATCAGAAATGTTTCTTGAGCAGCAAATCAGCATATTAGAATGATTTCTGAAGATCATGTGACACTGAAGACTGCAGTAATGATGCTGAAAATACAGCTGCGCATCACAGAAATAAATGACATTTTACAATATATTCACACAGAAAACAGCTGTTTTAAATTTGTATAATATTTCACAATACTGCTGTACTGTATTTCTGAGCAGCTGCTTCTGCTGTCTTACAGAGCAGTCAGATAGTGGAGCTGCAGAGATCTCGCCTGCGCGACGACATCAAGGAGTTCAAGTTCAGAGAGGCTCGTCTGCTGCAGGACTACAGCGAACTCGAGGAGGAGAACATCACCCTGCAGAAGCATGTTTCTGTCTTAAAACAGAGCCAGGTGACATTCAGCTGCATCAGCCATCCGTGTTAAATATCAGTTCCATCAGTGGAGTTTCTGCTAGAGACAGTGGAAATGTGGCATTAGTCACAGTTAGCGTGTGTGTGTGTGTGTGTGTGTGTGTGTGTGTGTGTGTGTGTGTGAGATATCTTGTAGGTTGAGTTTGAGGGTCTGAAACATGAAATTCGTCGTCTGGAGGAAGATACCCAGTTTCTGAACAGCCAGTTGGAAGACGCCATCCGTCTGAAGGAGATCGCAGAGAGGCAGCTCGGGGAGGCGCTGGAAACCATCAAGACTGAGAGGGAGCAGAAGGCAAGAGATGATTTTGTTTCTTTTTTATGTTATTATTATTATTATTTACAGCTAGATATTATATTAAGGTTAAGCTGGAAATCGAGAACTAGTTCCATTAAAATAAATAAATACTGGAAACGATTGAATACTGGAGGACGAAATGTAGTCTTTCTTACATTGTCTTTTCACCAACAAACATAGAGCCTGCCAGTGTAGTCTAACTGACAGGTGACTGAGCCTCATGAGCTGGTATTTTTTACAGATTCAGTCAAAAGTATTCATAGGCTGGTGAGACTTGTCAGTGTTGGAGGGAGTTATAAATAGTTTGTCACATATTGTTACTTTTACCTCAGGAAAGCGGTTCAATGACTATAAACTCATTAATCAACTAGGAAAAAAATTGTCTAGATAGGATATTTTTTCAAAATGTATGCAGTATATTACACATTCATTATATTTGCGGTTAACCTGTTGTCTTCATTATTTAATATGTTTGATTAAATCTGTAGAAACCTAGTTATATCATTAAAAAGTTATTGCCTTGTGTGCAGCTTAAATGTTTATGTTTTGGTAAAAAACTTAATTTTGCTGCATCACTAGTCAAGTCACCTTTATTTATATAGCTCTTTATACAATAGAGATTGTTTCAAAGAAGCTTCACTAATAAACGGGAAAGTTAACAATTAATGATGCAAACTTTATATTTTGCCTCAAATACGAGGCAAATCAAAATAATGCTGTAAAGCAGCTCTAAAAAGACTATAGTGTCATTATTTAGCTCAAGTCAGTTCAGTGTTGATCCAGTTCAGTTCAATAACTGTAAAGTTCATACATTTTTAAAACAAGTTCAATTCAGCAATCAGCAGCTATTCTGAAAGCAATAGTCTCATTATTCAGTTCAGTTCAGTTTTGTTCTTGTCCAATAGTGCACGCGCGCGCACACACACACGATGCGCAAAACTCCGCATTTGAACAGTCAATAGCAAATACTTAAACTAATAACAAAACAGTAGCTGATTCAGAAGCCCAGATTGTCATAGCAAAGTCAGAATTACCTCCTCTCCTAGGTTCATGAAACGGTCGTCCATAAAATGCATTGCTGTTCTGTTGTAAGTAATCTTAAAGATTCCTAAATGCATCTACTTTCGGAAGGCCAAATAAAGTGCTTTTGCCTAAAAACACAGTGTCTCCCTGACATGGCTGCTTCAACACTAACTGCGGTTACTGAAACCACGCCTTCTTTCTTTGCGTGAACATTTGGCCAGGATTATGCTAATATTTCCACATAGTGAGGTAGAAATGTGGGGGCGTGTTAGAACGAGCCGTTTTAGGGGGCGTGGCAGAGTCTTAACTTTGATAAAGAATATCTCTTTGGTTTTGAGACTTTAGTCTTTGCAACTTCAGGGATCTTATCTATGCACAATCAGCTTGTAACACTCCAAAGAGAAAGGAAAACTTGAAATCGCATCATATGACCCCTTTAATATTATATACATACTATACTTAGTTTTTTAAACAATACTAAACATACATTTTGTACTAAACTCCTATAACTGTCAATGTACACTGTGTAAACCGCTATATAAATAAAATGGACTTGACGATGTGAAATGATTGTAGTATAGGTATTATTGTGGGGGTGGGGTGCTTTCATGAATGCAGTCTCAAAGGAACTGGAATCATTAAGTGGAATCAGAAAACAAATCCCTTGGGATCTCACTATCTAAATGTTTTGCATTTGTAGGCACATTTCTAATCATTTGAATGCAAATGTTGCGCATTTCCATCTACGAGCAACTTATGCGTGCCATTTACTTTTCTGTTATTGGACGTTTTTGGTTAACACAAGAAAAAACTATAGATTTACATTGAAGGACTTGACTTGAGGGTGGTTGAAACCACCAAGAACTCCTCCGTAGTTGCTTAGTAACACACTAAAACCTACTCAGAACACCCTAGAAAACAAATATCAAGGCCATGGCACCCCGAGTACTATGGCAGAGAGTTTAGCAGTTTCTTCTGAAAGGGTTTGTATCAGAAAAAGCCTGCTGTAGGCGTCTGCCAGTCCACCCTGAGGTCTGATTTAATCATATTTGTTGGGCTCCATTAATCCAGGCTGCCTTAAGAAAGGAATTGTCGCAGTACATGACCATCGGAGACTCGATGTACCACAGTCCTTTGAGCATCTCCCTCGATGGGCTGAAGTTCAGCGACGACACCTCAATCGAGCCCAACAACGACGAACCCCTCCATATCTACGAGAATGGCTTTGACAAGATCGACAACAACGACAACCGTGTTTCCACGCCCAAAAAAGGAGAGCGGTTTCACCCTTCCTCCAGCCTCGTGGACAATCTGCTGAATGAGCTCAACATCTCAGAGATCCAGAAGCTCAAACAACAGCTGCTGCAGGTGAGATAAGCTGTTTTGATCGGTTTACCGTATTCACTGTGTTCAGTCAGGCACCGTCATTTCAGCCGAGTTAGGCTGCGATATCTGCCAAAAAAATAAGACCAACCCAAAGGCAGAAATGTGGCATTCTGTGGAGGCACGTTTATAATATACCAAGTCAGTGCGATGCATAGTGTGTAGTTCTGTGTTTGATTGACTGACAGCTGGGCTGCTTAAATCCTATTAGTGGCAGTTGCATTGAGCGCCCGCCTCATCTGACACAATGAGCTGTCAGTTCAGCCATCTGTCAGGAAGTCAAGTTAGAAAAACTGACCTCTAACGAGGCGTCTCCATGCATACTGCAGTGTCCAGCAGAGATGTTCGCTGCAATATGGGCGAACAATATGATTCTAATATAATAGGAGCAATATGAGAGTGTTGTTGCAGCCAGCAGCACCTTCTGGCAATTATGGTAATCAGACGTAGCCCTCGTGACCTTTGAACACTGCTATTGATCAATCAAGCAATTATTCCAGACACAATAAACCAGCTGAGATGATGTGATTTTCCATACGAACATCTCAATTGAACAAAACACCCAAACCTCTGTGACCAGTAGTGACCACTTCAATTTTTGCATACATTTTTTATTACAAGCGATTTTCTTCAGTAACATGAAACCCCTTAAAAAAATTCTATCTCCATTTGAGAATGAATTTACTAGGGCTGCCCCCTAATAGTCGACTAACCTTTAGTCAACGAGAAGAGGCTTGGTCGACAAAAATTTTTTTTATTAGTTGCTTAGTCGCAGAAAAAAAGTGGTGAGGTCACGGACAGATTGTTAACGGCTGGATTTTGTGGTAATACAGTACATCCAAACGCTCGCCTATCATTCATCGACCTCAAATATGGCTTATCATCTGAAATATGCAAGTAGTAGCAACTTTACATGGCCGCTCAATCTAATGTTAATGCGCGCTTACAGCATGACAGATGGAGGCGCCGGTGCTCTTAAAATACTCAATTTTTGGTCATTCAGATAAGAGCAACACATCTTTCGAATCTGTAAAGCCTCTACGCTTATTTGTGTGCACTCACTATAACAACAAAACATTGTAAATTAATGAAAGCAAACAGGATGCGCTTTCTGCCGTCTCGGTCTCTGTGAACTTGAGCACGAAACTCTGTGTATACTTGCCTTACAGACTTGAAAATTATATCTATACAGAGTGAAATGTCTATTTTCAAGTGAAACAGTTAAAATCTGAAAAACAAATATTCTCAGATTATGTAATCCATAGGAAACTTGCATGCAGGTATGCATTGCATGCATCAGTGTCACCGAAAAAAACACGGAAAACACTAGTTTATCAATAGATTATTAAAATGTTAATGCAGTTTTTTTTTTTTTTTAAAGATTTATTTTTGGCGTTTTTGCCTTTTTTTTATTGACAGGATAGTAGTGAGACAGGAAGCTAAGTGGGAGAGAGAGGGGGGATGGGATCGGGAAAGGTCCGTGAGCCGGGACTCGAACACGGGACGCCCGAAACGCAATGGCGCTACATGTCGACGCGCTGCCCACGAGGCTATCGGTGATGACGTTAATGCAGTTTTTCTCTGACACATTCATCATCATTACTTCTGCCGGTGTGCTGTTGCAAGCTTTTTGCATGTGCTTGAGCGCTTATTAGGCTCTGTAGGCAATTAAAGGCTCATTAGTATGATTTAAATGGCTTATTTATAAACGTGCGATTAGTCGACTAATGCTTAAAATGAACGACTACTAGTCGACCAGACAAATCTTTAGTCGAGGGAAGCCCTAGAATTTACTTTAATGTCATATGAAAGGCCCGTGCTTTGAGAATGTGAAATCAGACATTTTGTGCAAAAAGTTTCACATCATTAATGTCACAAATTAGCTTATTTCAGCTTCGAAATCACAGAAGTTGAAAAGTGAACATTCGCTGTTTCTTTTTACATCATAACATTCTGTGTTGAATCCCAAGGTTTTTAATGTGGTCTCAAACACAAAGAAGAAAAAAGGTCAACCCAGTGCACGACCGTTGGGTTTTTGTATTCCACTCGCACTGTAACTGGCATGAACAAGACAGACAATTAAATCGTTAACTGCAAACCACAGTACCGAGCCCAAACTTCATGTCGGTGATATAGACAGGTTTTTCCCATCTCAACAGCCACATTTTTGAGGTGTGTCAGTACAGGTTAAAGCAGATCACACACCACTGCTTGTTTCAGCAAGTCCTGTAATTCATGTGTAGAGAAAATGTGCTTTTGAAGGAGGTTCTGCTTTTACTGACTTTTAAATGAAGTATACTGCAGATTTTCAGCCCGTTTCTGCAGGTCTTTTTTACACAAGTAATTAAAGGGTAATGGAGATCTTTAAATGAGTCCTTAAATGTTCTTTTCTTGGTCTTAAAAGGTCTTTAGAAATTCTTAAATGTACTACTTTCACAAAACCTGTAGAATAAACCATTCATGTGTCCTGCAATACCTAATGCAAGAACTCAAAACTCACTGAAATAATTTTCCCCTGGTGTGCAAAGTCGGGCTTTTGGCGTATACATTTGCAACAATGCAACCTATATGAAATCAGAGTGGATGGCATTAGACTCGGCTGAGTGAAGAAGAATGACATTGCGGGATCAAACAGATTGAAAAGATACACGTCGCGTGTGTGTTTGTCTGTTATTTAGGTGGAGCGGGAGAAGGGGACGCTACTGTCGACCCTGCAGGAGTCTCAGAAGCAGCTGGAGCAGGCTCGCAGAGCGCTATCTGAGCAGCACGAGAAGGTCAGCGGTCTCACCGAGAACCTCAACGCTGTCCGCAAACTCCAGGCCAGCAAAGAGCGCCAGTCCGCTCTGGAAAACGAGAAGGATCGCGACAGCCACGAGGACAGTGAATACTATGAGGTGGACATCAACGGCCCCGAGATCCTGGAGTGCAAGTACAAGGTATAGAAATATATTTTTTTTTCATATTTTTATGTGGTGTTTTCATCTGTGGCAGAAGATGTGAAGAAAAAAATCTAAATCTTAGATGGTGAACCAGTCATATATTTTGAATATATTTTCATTCAATGCCTAAAGTATCCAATTAAAAATGAACTGTTTTGTGTACAATGTGTTTTGTTCTTATTTTGAGCACAAGGCTGAAAGAAAAGCCCCCTTTGAACTACAGACAACCATGATTGGAGAGTTGTTGGCCTGAAGTATTCCACAAACATTCACATTATATAAAATGTGTATTTTATACATAGTTTATCTCTATCAATATTCTTTTGTCTCTGTTCTGCATTATTGACATTTGTATAAGACACCAGACGAGCAGATTTTCTCAAATCACAAAACATAGATTCTGTATTCCTCAAAATGAATCAAATGTCCAGGGAAATGCAAACACTGAACTTTATTTCATAATAATCCGTTAAATAATACAAATGCACTTTATAGAATTAATCTCACTTTATGCGCCAGTGCTGTGATTAAATTCCACATGGAAATGAAATTTCATGTTTCTTTCTTTCTTCCATTTTTTTTTTTTCTTTTCGGAAAAAAAAGGGGGCTTGCATATCTATTTCAATGAATGTAATTCCTTCAGACCAGTGAATATTGGCTTTGTTGATGTTTCCTGTTAACATCACACTCTATTTGAATCATTTGCAAGTGGGAGTTGATTCTCCTGTGAAGAATATGAAGATAATGGCCATCTAGAAATGCATTTCAAATCAGTCATTTTTAGGATGCTGCCTTAAAAGGTCCTGCCTTTTTAGACAGTGAAGCAGTTCAACAGTGATGTTGCATGCTGATTCTTTGATGCCACAGGTTGCTGTGTCTGAGGCGAGTCAACTGAAGGAGGAGCTCAAAACGTTAAAGGCAGAACATTCAGCCTGTCAGTCTCAGTATAAGGAGGAGCGGGCGCAGCTGGAGAGCCAGGTTGCATCTTTAAGCACACAGGCCTCTTCTCTGGAGCGCAGCAGCAGAGCCGACCGTGAGCAGCTGGCGCGGCTGGAGAAAGAGCTCCGTCAAGCCAGCGAAGTGGCAGGTGAATCCCAGGGCAGCCTTAACATCGCACAAGACGAGCTTGCCACCTTCAGCGAGGAGTTAGCCAACCTCTACCATCACGTATGCATGTGCAACAACGAAACGCCGAACCGCATCATGCTCGACTACTACCGCGAAGGTAAGGCTGGAGTTAATGGCACACAGACCACAGGCTGGGGCAGCCCTGACGGTCGCGGACGCCGCTCTCCCATCCTGCTGACCCGCGGCCTCTTCCCCAGCGACGGAGCTTCGTCTCCGGTCTCCTCCGTCCCGTCCCCGGTGCCTGATCCCCGCAAAGAGCCCATGAACATCTATAACCTGGTGGCTATTATCCGTGACCAGATCAGACACCTGCAGCTAGCGGTGGACCGCACCACCGAGCTCTCGCGCCAGCGCATGGCTTCCCTGGAGCTGGGTCTCGGGGCAGACCGAGACCAGGAGGCCAGCGTGGAGGAGATCCTCAAACTCAAATCGCTCCTCAGCACCAAGAGGGAGCAGATAGCCACGCTGAGGACCGTCCTGAAGGCCAACAAACAGGTCAGCGTTTCTCCCTCATCGCTACACTGATGGTGCATTTTGTTTTTTATGGAAAGTAATGCATTACGTTTCTTTTGCGTTACTGTTTGTCATTTGGGCTGGGCTTGCTTATTTGTCTTTTAATAACAAAAAATAACCCAAAAGTTATATTTTTGGTAACTGTAAAGGCCGTTTCACACCAGAAGTGAAATGAATAAGCCTCCGTCTGAAGGAAGTGCGTCTGCACCTCACTCCCGATCTCTCTCAGCATGGGGACAGGAGAGGCGTCAGTCAATATATAGCAATACGTAAAAGTAACTTGCTTATTTGATAAAGTAACTCAGATATTTCTTTGTAAATTTAAAAGTAATGTGTTACTTTTCTAGTTATTTAAATGTGATCTGATTATACTTATAAAGCGTTACCCCCAACACTTTCGACCATAAGGCATGAAGATATTAAGACATTAACATTAACAAGCTGCTAATTGCCCGTGTGTTTGTTGCTGTTTTTCAGACCGCTGAGGTGGCGCTGGCCAACCTGAAGAGCAAATATGAGAACGAAAAGGCCATGGTGACTGAAACCATGATGAAGCTTCGCAACGAGCTCAAAGCCCTAAAAGAGGACGCAGCCACTTTCTCCTCACTCAGGGCCATGTTTGCCACGCGGTATGAGCTCCTACAGATCTATGAAAACACACATTAGCAACAGTTTATTTGGCCTTATGACACTCCTGTATTTCCTTCTCTGTTCTCATCTATCAGTTTGATAGATGGGGCACCTGGACCTGGTTTGATTGGTGCCTATAAGATGAAAAATATAAAGACAGAAACTAATAACCTTGTATTTCACTATTAAGTGCAGTTACCAATAACATTACATATTTTGTCTTTTAACAGTAAAGCACTGAGCTGGGGCACAGATATAAACTGACATGAACCTCATCTCTCCTCTCTTACATTCAGAGAGTATTAGTGCAGATTGTACACCGAAGAAAACAAAAACTAAGCTTGCTCCTCGATTCACACAAATCTAAGCTCTACAGCCCTTATTTCTGCTTTGTATTTGCCCTTGTGAAAACCAGTGTTTGCCTGTAGTATCCAGGCTTTTAACAGTTTGTAGATCTTAGACATGTCTTACAAGTTTAGTGCGAAGTAAAATGATTAATATACTTACTGTGAAATATTCATTTTTTTGTATTTCTCTCTTAGAGATATAATTATTATTATTCAGATCGTTTGGCTTCCTAAAAACATTAGTGTGAATGTAATTCACAACTATAAAGCAGTTTGAGTCCACTTTAAAGTCCAGGTATAAGTCAATGCAAAAATCTTTTTTTTTGTTTTTTTATTCTGTTCAATTTAGTCACTGAAAATGTTGCCCTTGATCAGAAAATGTGCACCTGATAAATGTATCTTTAAAATATACAAAGCTTTCTTCCGGGGATCACATAGTCTCACACGATCTGTGTGTAGACGGTTTGTAGCAAGTAAGTGAGAAAATCAAACTGTGGCTGGCCTTCTTCCATGTAGGTCAGATGGCCTCTTCCTGTCGAAGTCGGCAGTTTTTGACCAGATTAAGATAAGTTATGTCTTGTGAGAACAGACTCCCAGTGATTGGGATCAGTGTCTTAGGTGCAGGTATGGGTCAGAGTAAAACTGCCGTTAAGTCTTTCCGAACAGACTGTAAGCCGTGACGGCATATGGTGCCCAATCAGATCCTCCTGACACGTGAACACCGTCAATGACTTCTCTGTGCTTAACGTGCATCAGGGAGGGAGGAATAGCAAAACTGATGAAACCGTTCTTTCACTCGTTTCAGTGGGAAGCGTTCTCATCAGCAGCTGTGTTCTGCGGCCCCTTCCATAGGCCCTCAGCTGCTCTGGGGCTCCAGGTTTTGTATTGGCCTGATCCGTGGGGTATTAATATGCTAATAAGGGCAGATTGTCAGACGTGGGGCTGGATTCTCTTTCCCACAGTCTCGAACATCTCTAAAATCACAGCTCAAACTATTCAGTCATATTGCACCCCAAAATCACAAGAGCGAAGTAAATGTACGTGTATATATAGATATGCTGTTCTTATTGAGTGTGATTCCTAAACATTTTCACCTTCTCTGTCTGTTTATATGGTTTGTCTGTTTCTTCTCTTTCACACTCGTCTCTTTGTTTTGTTTCTCTATCTTCTCTGAGATGATGTTCATTCCTGCGTTGCTGAAAAGCAGCTGAGGTGAATGTGTGTCAAGACGTATGTCACAATAACAATCCACACGCACTCGTGCAGCCGCAGATGGGTTCTGGCGTGACCCCCGGCCTCTTTCCCGGGAAAATCCTGACCCCTGCGTTTAGAGGCGATAGTTCTCTAATGAAGCTGCACTGATTTCTGTTGTGAGGCGCTGTGTCTTTATGTCTTAGACGCACACACTTTAGTGGGCTCGCGGTAGTTTGCCAGACTGAGGCTTGTTCAAAGTTCATGCCTGTGAGAAACTGAGAAATGCTACACAAACAAGCAGATCGACCAGTGATGGGTAACAATCAAGTAACCTGGCATGAGAGGCTCTGCTTTTTTCAATAATGATTAATGAAAAACCTATTACTATTACTATTAGTTAAAACTATCCTTTCACCAAATAACATGGTTCATTAATCTTACACAGTTTACTCTCATGATGTGACAAAACTAGATGGTTCACATTATAATTCAGTTTAATTGAATTTAGAGCCAGAACTTTTCAGAAAGTATTATTTTATATTTGACCTTTCAGATTCTCACGCCTGGTCCTCTGAGAAGGACTGATGAAGCACACCCTTGAGAAAATCTCAGGATTTATGCTTTATGATGACTGTAGGGTGTAGTTGCGTGTTTTGTGGTGATTATGGTGTATTGGGTGGTGTTTAGCGTGCACTGACACGCACTGTGCTTTAGGGTGTAGAGATGTAAGTGCAGTTTAGGGAAGGTGTGGCTCTGTAATCGTTCTGTCTGTTCCATCATGTGTCAATGGTTTAATCTCCTGACCATTCAACCCTTTATTAACATTAAGATCTGTTTAAATGACACAAGTGAGACAAAGCCTTATTTTATTTAAAGATCCCCCAAAAAATGGCCTAATGAGCACATTTTTCTTTCCAGTGGTTGTATTTCCTATTTCAGTGTCAGAACCATCTGCTTTATAAATCTCATGTATGAAAAGCTCAATTTGATCAGGTGCATATATCTTTGTACTTAGAGGGTTGAGGAAGATTGAGTCTTGGCTTTCTAACACTTAGCAGACAATTTCATCAAAATTTCAAAAGCCAGTGCCCTTTTATAAGTCCTGTTGAAACCTGATATTAAAATGCGTTTTGGTCAGCCAGATCACAGATAGATGAGGGGGAGACACATTACATTACACTTGCTGTTTTAATCCATCTCTTTTGACCATTTGACCAAATTAACCATGGTTTTGCTACACTAAACATAGTTTGACCATGGCATCTGTAGGTAGACTCTGGTTATACAAATCGTCCCCTTGGAATTATAAGGTTCTATCTGACAATTCAATGTTGCATTCAAATTTTAGGTGTGCGTTAAGGAGGCAGCCTTATCAGTGGTGCACGAGATGCGATGACGATGTAAGTGTCGTTGCATTATAATGTTTTTGTTAGCCTATCCAGCTGAAGCCACTAGATGCGGCGCTGCTGCTTTGTTCATTAAAAATATTGCGGGAAAAGAGAACATCAATGCGGAGAAGATCTTGTTTACATCAAAACTGAAACCAAGCCGTTTACACAGAATGCATATTTCGCGAGAGGGACATCTAGAGGGACATCTATCACCGTTGCACTCGTGAGAGCAAAAAAGAGCCGCATGTTTAGAAAGCCATGTAATATTAATGCAAGTTCAACTTTAAAAAAACATATCTCGAGACTTTATGGTAGGTTTTTCCCCATCCCACTGCAACTCGTGTTTTTAAATGAAAAATTTACTCTGTGTTTGGCTTTCGGCCCTTTGTATTAAACTATGAATACATAAATGATGCTGTTTTGTTTATAGTTGTTTAAGCAACTTAATTATAATTGGTTTATAAACATTATTTTAAATGTGATGCACTTTTTCCCCCACAGATAGTCATGTTTTCTTATGCTTTGAATAAACGTGCATTAGTAATATTTTGCTCCATGCGCCCTCTTGTGGCCTTAGCAGAAAAGCCAAAAGCTATTCTTCACCCTAACTGAAATTATGCATTTTAAATTTGAATATAATTCGAATTTTGATCATATTTAAGTACAAAATTCGAATTTAGTTTTTCAGCCATTTTGACAGGCCTAATCCCAACCACCTCTCTGTCTTTCAGCTGTGACGAGTACGTGACTCAGTTGGATGAGATGCAGAGGCAGCTGGCTGCTGCGGAGGATGAGAAGAAGACGCTGAACTCTCTTCTCCGTATGGCCATTCAGCAGAAGCTGGCGCTCACCCAGCGGCTGGAGGACCTGGAGTTCGACCACGAGCAGACCCGCCGCGGCGGAGCCAATGGCCGCTCCAAGACCACCTCCTCGCGCGGTAAACCCACCCAGTCCCACGTGAGTCACCCTGCCACCGCTGCCACCTGCGGGGGTCGAGGCGAGCCCAACGGCCTCCTGGGAACGCCGGTGGTGTTCTGCAGCGAGAAGTACAAGATCTACTGCGACTGAAGCGGCGTGAGCCTCGTCAGCCGTTGTACAAAGCTCCACTCGCGCGCTCTCTTGCTTGCTGTGTGCTAACCTATATGATGTGTCCGCTAAATATGGTCATGCCTGCTAGCGTCCTCGTAGCCAGGTGCATGTTGTAGTGCTAGCTAAGGGCAGACGGATATAACGTTTAGTCTTATTGGTGTGTTTCTGCTAGCGGCATTAAACCGAATTGCACAATCTTACAGCTCAAGGCAGTGGCTGTGCGTGCTTTTAGATTAGACGTGTTAGAGAGAGCTAGCCATAGGATTGTTGAATTGTGGTCACAAGTCAATAGCCATTCGCCCTTGTCCTCTGTCCATCTCTCTCCTGCCTCTGAAATCAGCAGCCCGTCCAATCAGGGAACTCGTGTTCACATGCCCGAGCAAACAAAATATGCAAACCTCCTCCCTGCCTCGTTGACGTGCAGGAAAACCCTTCGGATTGTGCCATTATTGTGAGAAATCAAAAATAACATCAAAAATGAAAATCGACGGGTTGGAGAGTGTGTGTGTGTGTTTTAGTGATGTCACACGTGAGGCAGGCGGGAACGACGCGTCTTCATAAATCAGTATGCGCCACAAAGACTTGCTTTTTCATTAGATGTCTGGCTGCTGATCTGAGAGCTTTAATATGTCTTAGACTTGATTACGTTTACTTGAGCACACACGGCTTCACACGGTGAAGTCATGGTGAAGGGCTTGCCACATGCTCAGTGCTGTCAACTTTCACAAGCTTTTTTGTGTATTTCCATTGCAGATGAAACATTAGAGAGGCCTTATCTGTCATTTCTGTACTTTTAAATGGCGTGGCCGCCTCATTTCAACACAAGAAGACAAGCCAATGTCTCTTTTTGTCAAACAAACGATTCAAAGTTTCAGGCTTTCATTCTCTGACTTGCTTAAAACATTTATCCTGAATCAGAGACAAATAGGGTTAATGCCTAATTCCTAGTTACTCTCGACCTCTGCATTAGTAATCTGTATATGATATGAAACTCTCATCTCCATATAGATTGCATTCACTCTTTTGTGTTTGCATCACGTGAAAGATTGACACAACTGAAGCAGTGGATGCTAACTAGGGTTTTTAGACAAACTGAAACAAAAGTTCATAATCTACTTGCAAGCTAATGTCGATTCATGCATTAATACATGAATTGCTGCAAATGGGTTAAATGAATGTCTTCTCGAATCACTGCATTTATAAAGGAAAAGTGCAGCACAACTCACATTTCAGGAACTCCAAAAGATAGCAGTGTTAAAACAAACATTATAAAGATTAAATGCATCTTTCACTTTCTGTAACTTGTACATTCTCTAGTTGTACAGTTGCTCTAGCAAGGACTGTTCCCATATGATCTAGTGGTCTGGATTCCTGGTTGTTACTCATGCTCCTGGAATGGGACGGGATGCCTCTGGCTCTGCCCACTCATCAGATTATTGACCTTCATTTTTTTAATTGAATTGACCTTTCACAGAAAAAAGAGGAATGTCTCATGTGGTTGACATGTCTCTCTTCAATCCATTTTTTCCCCTAATGCATAAGTCATTAAATCAGTTTGATCAGCAATGAAATTATTACCAATAAGAAATGAGCTGTCAGGTGGACAGTTGGTCTGTGTTTCGCCAAGAGGTGTGTTAGTGAAATGTTTCGCCATTGACTGTTCAAAAACTTTGTACAACTCATTAACATTCACTACTTTTTGTGGGATCACCGGTTGAGGTTTTTAGTTCTTGTGAGAACCTCTGGCTTCCTGCATCCTGTACTTCTCTTCCACACTCACTAATAAAACCTGTAACATGGGCTGTGTTTGGCTTCTGCTGACTAACCCGCCGCTTGAGCCGATGCAGCCGCTGTGTAACGCTAACCGTAATGCTAATGGCTTTTATTTCTTTGTCCCGATTTGCAGTAACGTTCAGCCTGAGCTGGAACTCGACATTCCACCACTTCCCACAAACCCAGTGCTCCCAAACCAGTAAACGGTCTCGAACGTATGAGAGACACTGGATGGCTGCCTTTATTTTTGGAAACCATTGGAAACTCAAACCTTTTATCGTTGTTATGCATTGTACACTCGGCGAATGAGCAGGATATAGTACATTTACATTCACAGAAGAACATTTGGGGGTTCTTTTGACACACATGGGAAGCCAGATGTCACAATGTCCTGAAAACTTAAACTCTTAAAAATCAACTACAAAAAAGAAAATGGGCTAATGTTCTTTTTCTCGAGACATTCATCTGTGTTTTGAGATTCTGTAACCTTTTCTCTTTTAATGTGGGGTTATATCACTTTTTATTATATCGGTCTATAGTTTGAGGCGTTCTGGTTTATGAGTCTGTTCACGTATTTTACACTAATATTTTAATAGTATTTGATTTCATTATGTACGTCCTCTGTAAGCAGAGCTCAACGTCACATAATCCATATCTACTCCAGTTCTGACATCTTTATGAAGTGAATCCATAAGATTATTCATGTGTTTTAATGAAATGTTGTTTCTCACATTCACATTTTAATGCTGGGCTTTTGTCTATTCATTATTATTATTTCGTCTATATAGGAATATTTCAAAGTGAACAAATAATTTAAAAAAGTGGCTTAATCTAATCACAAGGCTTTGGTTAAACAACCAGCAAATCAATAAAAACACTACAAAATTGATTTTTTCGTAACACTTCACAATAAGGTTCAGATAACAATAACAATGCAGCCATTTATTAATCTAGAATAATTTCTTTATATAGGAATACGTTTTTAACGTTGTATAAATTAACATTAGGTTAACGTATTATGAATTAACAATGAACAAGAGTATATTCATGTATTACCATTAACCTGGATGAATTAAGATTGTTCAGTTCACTTATTGTAAGTGTTTGCAATTTTTCTTTCGTTCGTTTCAAGCACCTTCGTGGGTCACTGACCTTCTGCATTCTGTACAAGAGGAAATGAATTAATTCCAAATTGGAATGCTGTAATTCTCTCTACTATCGTGCCAAGTGTCGGTACATCGTTTGGGTTGGTGTTAAAAGGATCAGAAGCGCTGAGACGAGGGTCTGCCCTGCTTTACCTTACCCTCAGTTTGGTTCATTTTTCCGTTTATGATCTTCATTCTGACCATTAGTGCCTTTTTGTTCTTTGAAGAGAGAATCCTAGCTTAGCGTTTAGTTTTTGTATTTAATTTTTCTCATTCCTTAAGGAAGAGCAGCAGATGACTTGTTCTAAACTTAGCAGCAGCAATAAGTACAGAAGACATTCATTCTGTTTTCAAGGGTGTGAAGATATCAATGATTAGAGAAATAAAACCGATTGTACTGAATCCGTCAGGTCAGTGATCCTAAGAGCAAATTCAGGGGTTTTAGAAAACGTTATGTTTCGTCAGATGGTTTGAAGCCAGAATTATCGTTTGCCTCAATATGAACAAAAATTTTGAGACACGAAACTTGTGTGGTGTTTTGTTGTCGGAGACTGGTGTTATTCTAGCTTTGTATGGTGAGGTAGCTGAGGTCATGTGATATCGATAGTATTGTTAACAATTGTGAGAAAGCTTGTGTCCTCTTTCTGTTCAATTGTTTTGTTTTTTTACATTTTTATATGAGCATTACAATTTCAGGAAACAGAAAACGTTGCATCAACAAGCAAATGGTGCCACGAAAGTCGCATTTTGTTTGTTGAGGCGTAAAATTAATAAATACAGTCAGCAAGTGAGGAGGAACTAAATTAAGTGCAATTAAACCAAAACGAAGGTATGTGGTAACTGAGGTTTTCTGTTTGCTGGAAGTGATGGCATTGTGATATTCAACTAGCTGTGGAAGCTTATTATTGGAAACTCTTATTATTGTGTTCCAGTATTGATCTATAAGGACCTATAAGTTTGATACCTTTATATAAAATAGCATTTGTTTGTTTGTATTAATTTGTCGGTACTGAACTTTATAATGTGCATTATTATGTCATATGCATGTTTCTTTCGGCTATGAGACTTGTACACAGAACCGAAAACAAACTTAGAACTCCAAAGACTTGGAAAAAGACAAAAAGCAGAAGAGCGAGTAATGTTTGGGTTTTAATTGGTCCCTTACTCTTGAACTAACGGAGTTGAAGTCTTGTTTTCTAGAGGTTTGTCTGTGTAGAAGTAGTCATGCTGGCTCAAGTCAGTAAATACAAATAAAAAGTCACTCAGCGCTTGTCCCGTGTGTGAATTTGTTCTGTTCTTCTGTTGTTTGTTGTCCATTTGTCTCAGGACTGTTTATTCTCCAGTGTAAGAGACAGTTTGCCAGTCCTTTATCATTATCTGTACATGAAAATTTCAGTGGTTTATTGATTTAATGGAGGTACACTCTTAAAAATAAAGGTGCTTCAAAAGGTTCTTCAAGCGATGCCATAGAAGAACCATTTTTGGTTCCACAAAGAACCATTCAGTCAAAGGTTCTTTAAAGAACCATCTCTTTCTTACCTTTTTATAATCTGAAGAACCTTCTTTCACCACAAAGAACCTTTTGTGAAGCAGAAAGGTCAGATGTTAAAGGTTCTATATGGAACCATTTAGACAAAAATTCTTTCAGCTATGAGACTTGTACACAGAACCAAGAACAAACTTAGAACTCCAAAGCCTTGGAAAAAGACAAAAAGCAGAAGAGCGAGTAATGTTTGGGTTTTAATTGGTCCCTTACTCTTGAACTAACAGAGTTGAAGTCTTGTTTTCTAGAGGTTTGTCTGTGTAGAAGTAGTCATGCTGGCTCAAGTCAGTAAATACAAATAAAAAGTCACTCAGCGCTTGTCCCGTGTGTGAATTTGTTCTGTTCTTCTGTTGTTTGTTGTCCATTTGTCTCAGGACTGTTTATTCTCCAGTGTAAGAGACAGTTTGCCAGTCCTTTATCATTATCTGTACATGAAAATTTCAGTGGTTTATTGATTTAATGGAGGTACACTCTTAAAAATAAAGGTGCTTCAAAAGGTTCTTCAAGCGATGCCATAGAAGAACCATTTTTGGTTCCACAAAGAACCATTCAGTCAAAGGTTCTTTAAAGAACCATCTCTTTCTTACCTTTTTATAATCTGAAGAACCTTCTTTCACCACAAAGAACCTTTTGTGAAGCAGAAAGGTCAGATGTTAAAGGTTCTATATGGAACCATTTAGACAAAAAGGTTCTTCTATGGCATCGTGAAGCACCTTTATATTTAAGAGTGTAAGCACAGTTTTGTTTATGCTTGAATATCCATCTGTGTTGGCACAGCACTGGTAGTAACTGATTACATTAATCTGGATTACATAATCAGTTCCAAAAGTTAAAGTGATAGTTCACCCAAAATGAAAATTAGCCGACGATTTACTCACCCTCAAGGCATCCTAGGTGTGTATGACTTCCTTCTTTCAGACAAATCCAATCAGAGTTATATCAAAAAATATTGTGGCTCTTCCAAGCTTTATAATGGGAGTGAATGGGTGTTGTTTTTCAATAGTCCAAAAGAAGTCAAATAAAGTGCATCCATCCATCATATAAAGTGCCTCACACGGCTCGGGGGGGGGGAATAAAGGTCTCCTGTAGCGAATTGATGCGTTTTTGTAAGAAAAAAAATCCATATTTAAAACGTTATAACCAATTTTCTGTAGCTTGTGCTAACTGTCATACGCGGAAGCTGTTCGGGCGGATGACGTAAGATGTAGGCATAGCGCATGCGCCGGTGAGAATATGCTAGTCTTGTGAAAACCAACGTTTGTTCACAGGAGAAAAGGAAGCAAAGTTTCCTTACTTTAGCAAAGGAAAACCAGTCTCCTCTTGGCTTCTATCAAAATCCTCCACCACTTTTCTTTACAAATCCTCGTTTTGTACTAATTCGTAACCAGTGTTTTGTTTTGTTCTGTCCTCTCTGCTTCCACGTTCGTCACTTCTCACTGCCGCGTGCGGTGCATCGATTCGCTACAGGAGGCCTTTATTCACCTCCCGGAGCCGTGTGAGGCACCTTTATGGATGGATGCACTTTATTGGACGTCTTTTGGACTGTTCGCTGCCATTATAAAGCTTGAAAGAGCCAGGACATTATTTTAATATAACTCAGATTGGATTTGTCTGCAAGAAGAAAGTTATATACACCTAGGATGGCTTGAGGGTGAGTAAATCATGGGCTAATTAAAAATTTTTGTGAAGTATCCCTTTAAAAGTTGCCTCTTTTGTGAGTAAAGCCTGAAGTACAGAGCCTAGTGAGGAAAGAGCCACCGGTAGTATTATGCCAGAGGGGTCCAGGAGCCCATGATGCCACTGGAAGCACAGCTCTCTCTCACACACACACACACACACATATATACAGTAGATGTGCACTGTGGAGGAATTGCCATACTGACCCAAGGAGGGAATCCAAAATTTTCTTCACAGTTGTGACTGACTGCCCTGAAGGAGGATCTTCTCAAGAGAAGAGATGCGGTTATTAAAGCATTTGGTGACACGTCTTCAACACTGTCGACCCTAAACTCCCATCTCGTAGTTGACAGAACTGTAATGTTCATGGCGTCGTCAGAGCAAGTGCTTTTGTTCACAGCGACTCTGATCCTGTTCCTCCTCTCACCTCGACTTTCCTATAAGACAAAAACTGAAATAACTAAAAAGCAGCGCACGTCCTAGCGATGTACTGAGCAGCTAAAAAGGTTCCTGTTACAACTCAAATTAAATCACGAATGTTAGCCTACAGATGATTTGGGTGCATTACTGACCAGGTCGAATGTGTGACACCATGCCTCATTCATTTCCAGTGGACAAGCTCGTAAAGAAAGCCGACAAAGTGCTCCAGTGCTTTCCTGCATCAGTCTGCTGAGGTAAGTCTCTTTTACTTCATCATAATTCGTCTTAAATCAGTCAAACTGGGCCAGCAGTTAAAGTTGCAATGAAACAGAAAGTGACAGATATTTTTTCCCCCATTCTTTCTTCAAATACTTAAACAAATGTATTAAAGTGTGTAGTGAATGAACCTTGTTGCTGTTTTAAATAATTGGTTGTTTCATGATTACTGTTTTGCTTGGTCATATACAGTATAATTATGTCTTGTGTGTTGTATGTTTTACTTTTCTAAATTTTTCAGACTTTGTACGGTCATCTTGGCCAGGACTCCCCGGAAGAGGAGATTTTTTTTTTTTTTTTATCTCAATGGGAACTTCCTGGTCAAATAAAGAATAAATAGTGTGAAAAAAGTCAAAATTATGACTAATCCTTGGGTCGTGGCAATGCCAGCCCGTCCCAGCAGCTCCAGCTGAGGCAAGGGAAACACTAGGCATTATAAAAAGTGAGCCATCCTATATTCAAATCACTTTCTATGACAACTAATAAAAAGTTTAGTATCATGGAATTCTTGCAAAACTTTAAAAAACATTATTGAAAGAAAAATTGGACGTTTCATATCATCATAAAATTGTTACACGATTATTTTATTTTCACAAAAGCAAAGCAGCAGATGTTATAAATAAAAACAGTTAACAATGTTATTCAATAGAATATTAAAACCGTTATTGCACGACATAGACCAATTCTTACAGGCTGCACAGACAAAACAGTCGGAGATGCGTTTATGCATATATATATATATATATATATATATATACAGTGGGGAAAAAAAGTATTTAGTCAGCCACCAATTGTGCAAGTTCTCCCACTTAAAAAGATGAGAGAGGCCTGTAATTTTCATCATAGGTATACCTCAACTATGAGAGACAAAATGCAGAAAAAAAAATCCAGAAAATCACATTGTAGGATTTTTAAAGAATTTATTTGCAAATTATGGTGGAAAATAAGTATTTGGTCAATAACAAAATTTCATCTCAATACTTTGTTATATACCCTTTGTTGGCAATGACAGAGGTCAAACGTTTTCTGTAAGTCTTCACAAGGTTGTCACACACTGTTGCTGGTATTTTGGCCCATTCCTCCATGCAGATCTCCTCTAGAGCAGTAATGATTTGGGGCTGTCGCTGGGCAACACGAATTTTCAACTCCCTCCAAAGATTTTCTATGAGGTTGAGATCTGGAGACTGGCTAGGCCACTACAGGACCTTGAAATGCTTCTTACGAAGCCACTCCTTCGTTGCCCGGGCGGTGTGTTTGGGATCATTGTCATGCTGAAAGACCCAGCCACGTTTCATCTTCAATGCCCTTGCTGATGGAAGGAGGTTTTCACTCAAAATCTCACGATACATGGCCCCATTCATTCTTTCGTTTACACAGATCAGTCGTCCTGGTCCCTTTGCAGAAAAACAGCCCCAAAGCATGATATTTCCACCCCCATGCTTCACAGTAGGTATGGTGTTCTTTGGATGCAACTCAGCATTCTTTCTCCTCCAAACACAACAAGTTGAGTTTTTACCAAAAAGTTATATTTTGGTTTCATCTGACCATATGACATTCTCCCAATCCTCTTCTGGATCATCCAAATGCTCTCTAGCAAACTTCAGACAGGCCTGGACATGTACTGGCTTAAGCAGGGGGACACATCTGGCACTGCAGGATTTGAGTCCCTGGCAGCGCAGTGTGTTACTGATGTAGCCTTTGTTACTTTGGTCCCAGCTCTCTGCAGGTCATTCACTAGGTCCCCCCGTGTGGTTCTGGGATTTTTGCTCACAGTTCTTGTGATCATTTTGACCCCACGGGGGGAGATCTTGCGTGGAGCCCCAGATCAAGGGAGATTATCAGTGGTCTTGTATGTCTTCCATTTTCTAATAAGTGCTCCCACAGTTGATTTCTTCACACCAAGCTGCTAACCTATTGCAAATTCAGTCTTCCCAGCCTGGTGCAGGTCTACAATTTTGTTTCTGGTGTCCTTTGACAGCTCTTTGGTCTTGGCCATAGTGGAGTTTGGAGTGTGACTGTTTGAGGTTGTGGACAGATGTCTTTTATACTGATAACATATCAAGATGCTGATTAGACAGCATGATTATTGCACAGGTGTGCCTTAGGCTGGCCACAAAAGGCCACTCTAAAATGTGCAGTTTTACTGTATTGGGGGGTCCGGGGGGTCCGAAAGCCAGTCAGTATCTGGTGTGCCCACCATTTGCCTCACGCAGTGCAACACATCTCCTTCGCATAGAGTTGATCAGGTTGTTGATTGTGGCCTGTGGAATGTTGGTCCACACCTCTTCGATGGCTGTGCGAAGTTGCTGGATATTGGAAGGAACTGGAACACGCTGTCGTATACGCCGATCCAGAGCATCCCAAACATGCTCAATGGGTGACATGTCCGGTGAGTATGCTGGCCATGCAAGAACTGGCCATGTTTTCAGCTTCCAGGAATTGTGTACAGATCCTTGCAACATGGGGCCGTGCATTATCATGCTGCAACATGAGGTGATGGTCGAGGATGAATGGCACGACAATGGGCCTCAGGATCTCGTCACGGTGGGCCTCATTTATAAAATGTGCGCACGCACAGATTTGATCTTAGAGTGTATGTACGCTAAAATCCACAGCAACGTTCATATTTATAAAAACGGTCTTTGACGTGGAAAAGTACTTACCGTCACGTCAGGGTCTGAGCAGCCGTACACACTTTTCCTTGTGGCAAAGTCAGAGTACTGCAGCTATTTGATCATAAGCTGCAATACCAATAAAAGCGGTGTACGTGCAAGCACCGAATTCATCATAAACAACAAAGATGCAGTGTGAGAGATTAATTGTGCAGTGTAGTCAGATTTTTTATTATTGTTTTTGCGAGATTAAACTGACCTTTTTAGTAGCCTAATGTTGAGAGTTCTTTACTCGCTTTCTGTAGTTTATTCCAAGTTTTTCTGTTTTTTACAAGAGAACTTGCAAAGTCTTGATTTACTGCTAACGCGTAAAATAGAAAAAACAAATTGCATAAACGCATCTCCGACTGTTTTGTCTGTGCAGCCTGTAAGAATAGGCCTATGTCGTGCAATAACGGTTTTAATATTCTATTGAATAACATTGTTAACTGTTTTTATTTATAACATCTGCTGCTTTGCTTCTGTGAAAATGAATAGACATCAGCCTTAAACTTTGTTTTTGTCATTTACATCAGTTATATTTGTATAAAATACACTATATATTTTAGTGTCAGTACATTAATGGCACATTTGAGCAGCATTAGTAAACTGTGTAAATATAAAGAAATGCCAAATCACATGCAGGTTTTTTCAGACCGGAGACCATAATCGTGGAATAATTAATTTTATTATGATATGAAACATCCAATTTTTCTTTCAATAATGTTTTTTAAAGTTTTGCAAGAATTTCGTGATACTAAACTTTTTATTAGTTGTCATAGCAAGTGATTTTAAAAGTAGGATGGCTCACTTTTTATAAGATGACTGAAAATTTTACTTGAATTCCTATTCTTACTTTTGGAAACCTAGTTGTTTTATCATTATTATTATTATTTCTGTTGTTTCTAGAAGTAATAATTTTGATAATTGTCAACAGGAAAAAATATAACCACACACACATTGTTTGTCCACAGAATAGTTACACATTGTTAAATAAAAAGCGTCCCGCACGAACCTCTACCTCCGCCAGCAGGACCTCAGTTTCAGACTCAGTAAAGTTTTTTTTTTCTTTGTGCTCGTCATTCTCAAGCCTAGAAATTTGGATATTGGCGTGTGCTCTTTTATATGGTAATGATATTAATTAGGGGGCGTTTACAAGGCGGAGATCTGGCACCAGTCAGCTACGCACAATTTCAAGATCATTTGCGATTTATAAATATCACATCTGCAAGAGAGGCGCACACACGTGTTTTTGTGCGCACGTTCGTTTTCTCTGAATCACACTTTTGAGAAATTATCTTAGAACAAATTTAGGATGGTTTTTACGCAACATTTTATAAATGAGCCCCGGTATCTCTGTGCATTCAAAATGCCATCAATAAAATGCACCTGTGATCATTGTCCATAACATAACCCCACTGCCACCATGGGCCACTCGATCCACAACGTTGACATCAGCAAACCGCTCACCCACACGACGCCATACACGCTGTCTGCCATCTGCCCTGTACAGTGAAAACCGGGATTCATCCGTGAAGAGAACACC